CTCGACTCGCCTCCATAGCTCCTCAACGTTAGCCGAGGAAGCCGGATAACGTAGAAGTCTCCGACAAGTCATGTCCCAAACATGTTCGATTAGATTCAGATCCAGAAAACGAGCTGGCCTAGGAAGCATTCGTATACGGTGCTCTTCCACAAAGGTCTGTACAATACGCCTGATGTGCGTTCGGACGTTGTCATGCATGTATAGCAGACCTGGGCGCTGCCGAACGTAGGGAAGCACAACGGACCGTAGCACCTCATCTACGTATCGTTGACCCGTTATGGTCTGCTGTACACGCAGCAAACGTGTACGTCCACCATGTGTAATAGCACCCCATACCATAATGCTCGGTTGTCGGTGGATAGGGCATTCTTGCACGCACTGCTCGAGTAGACGATCGCCACGTCTCCGATGAACTAAAATTCGCGCATCACCGATGCTCAATTCGAATCTTGATTCGTCGGAAAACAAAATGTCCCTCTACTCGGCAACCTACTAATGCCTAGCGTCGACCCACTCGTGACGTATGCTGCGGTGCTCGGGTGTTACTGGAATCTGCTGTATCGCACGACGCGCGCGCAGTCCACTATCTACCAAACGGCGCCATACAGTTCGCATAGTGAGTGCGCCTTCCCCTGCCGATGGCCAAACAGCTCCAAGTTGCCTTGAGGAGGACACACACGACGCTAAAGCGCTGAGCACAAGAGTGCGATCCTCGTGTGCTGGGGCCGCGGCTGTAGGTACCTATGTCCTACCTCAGAGCATTCTCGCCATGCCCGTTCCACTGCCGATAACGACCGCTCGAGACGACGCGCAATTTCACAGAACGATACACCCTCAATGTGCATACCCTCAAACATTCCTCGCTCAAACTCGCTTAAGTAACGCGATCGCCCATCCATTGCACACAGAGTACGATAACAATGTGGTTCCTCACACCACACTAAAAACGACCGGTATTTTCCATCCACTTCGGTCTCCATAGCGACGGAATGTTCTACTTGGAAGAGTGGCTCAGTCAACAATGCCGCGACGGAACAACTCGAAATTCGATGAGTAAACTCGTCTACAATAAACCTTTGTGCTCCGCAAATATCATGGATTTATCTTCACGCGTTCAGATTATATAAGGTGTGCTCGTGAATTATGTCCAACAGTGTACCTACTCATTTAGTTCAGGAAACCAGGCTTTTCTAAAACAAAAAGCGTCACCATGACGTGTAGGTAATGAACGAGCAAAATGAATTGTGCATGAAAACTTAAGAGTGGGGTGCGCACTGTTTTCGGCAACCAATGAATTTTTATGGTAGTTTAGTTGGTGAAGACCGCAAACGAAAAGAACATCGAGAAAATAGTGAATATTACTAGTGACATCTTTGAAAGTTATCATTTAAACACCCAAATTCATCCGATCATCCCAAGTTACAATGACAACACTTTATTAAGTTATCTCAGATTAATGAAATGGTTTAATTTATATCAACGAATTTTGACAAATAGTTTTGGTGAAGAATTCGAATTTAACGGTGTGGATTTAGACTAAGAATCTTCCGAAAAAGCCAATAAGCAATTAAGTACGTGACTAGAGAATCGATGGGGTTGAAACAAGACAGGAAAACGAGTGATCCTGGGGTGTATCTGAGAAGTAGGAGTTTATCAGCGACGTAGACGACGAAGACCGGATTACCGGCATCTCCGTTCCGGTCAGAGTTTTAATTATATGTATAAATTCTCCCTTGGCTACTGCCTCGCCGTTTTATTATCCCCGATAATCAGGAAAAATTTATGGAGCCCAACCGAGAAACGAAACTTGTTTTACTCCATTTTTCCTACGGTTTTAATAATAACGGAACGATGCTAAGGCATTTTAATAGACTTACTTTAATAATATCTCAAGCAAAATATAAACAAAACATTTTTATTAATCGATATTTCATATTTAATTATACGAAAAAGAGGTAGTAAAAAATAAGCTATGAACCATTCGAGTAATTACTCAAATGCGTGTTTCTAAACTGTGTGTTCTCACGATGACGCCGACGCGTACGTGTCAATTTCGATATGTCGCTAATGGTTTCAAAGTAATTTTCGTCGTTATAAGGTAATTGCTCGTGTGACAATGATCCCGATGGTCTCGTCATTTAAATAATTACGAATAAAGTACTCGGTCATTATTTGTATACATTTAGAATTTTATTTTGGATTAATTTGAAACAGTTTTTTTTTAATTACAAACACATTGCCTTTGGTAATTACAAAATTTATCCATCGAAACGTATCCTTTGCAACCTGGAGGGCAGCTACGATTGGTTATATTGAACGGGTTGCAGAACTTATTAAGATCTAAAATTATGTTTTTGTTACATTTTAAACCAAATTTAAAATAAAACACTTACTATTCCCAAAATCAGGTAATTGAGACCAAGCAGCACACACCATTACCATTATTATTGTGAGAAGAAGAACTCCACGAATGAACATCTTAGTTGAAGTAGATAAAAACTGATTTGTTTGGCAAAGAAAATTTCTTTTATATATAGTAAACTAAGTTATGACGAAAATTTATTGGTAACTATAAAAAAATACCTTTTTTAATGACTCTTTTACGGTTTTGTGCTAATTTAAAACATGTTATGATAGTTGAAATAAAACTAGTTATAAAACTAATATACCTAACATTACAATTTTTTTATTACTTTCCATCATATAATTTTAAAACAATGTTTTTACATGTTACAATATCAACTGAAATTGTTTCTTTACATCCCCAAACACACTTTCATCACTAAAAAGATCATAAAAAACTCGATTTTTGAATAGGTTAGAGGTAAGAAGACAATTTTTTTTAAGGTTATGCTAATAATTGTTGTAAAAAAAAAGTTTCTTTGTTATTTTGAATAATTTTCCTATATAACATTTTTTAATAACTTTAATGGAGGTCGCTGTATACTATACTCTGTTTTTAAACCAGGAGGAGTAAACGCGAAAGTCAGATTTACACTAGGAAAAGTCACCAGAAAATATCACTAGATATTTTGGCGGTAAATTTAAATTAATAATTATTATTATTTATTTATTTACTTATTATTGTATTTATTTTCGTTTGTTATCGTCAACACTAAACATACAAATTAACATTGAAGTTATGAGTGTATTTATTTCAAAATATAATAAAGAAGGGTTTAAGAACACAAAATTTACAATAATGACACGAAACTGTCGAATTGTCAATAACCTAACCTTCAAATTCAAAATCAAAATTCAAAATTGCCTGTGTGTGAACCTTCCTC